GTTAAAAAACCTGTTACAATAAATTTTATACTAGAACGCCGACGCCGGCGACATATTTTTATCTGGGCGAGCCATCTAGCGAGGTCGGCGGATAACTTTTATCGGTTGATTAAATCGTTCCTAGCTTCCCCTTTATAGGTGTATTGTGTATTTATTTTGTCGTGTTTGTTTTTGAATGAGGTGAGATTGCATCGATTGCCTTTTAAGGGTTTTATCAACGATCGAAGCGGTATATTTATGCTGTGCACAAACTTTACAGTGTGCACAAACAATATTAAGACTGTGCTAATTTTCCAGATTTCAGATAGAGAGAAATATAAAAATTAGCAACAAGATTTCTATTGGTAGTATATTATCATCATCAGTCATACTATCATCATTTAGTCATATATTATCATCATTATTACTTATAGAAAATTTGCAATGCATACTTGATCCCTTTTTTTTTGGTGACGCAGGCAAAAACTCTGTTTACAGACGACGGCGCTTTTAAGCGGCACACCGCCGAACGGACCTCACACCTGGCTCCCGCAAACCTTACGGGCCCCCACAGTGGCTGCCCACTGAGGACACCGTAACTCTTACGGGCGCTTTACGGCATAATATCCGCTAAAAAACCCTGCGAATACCCTCTAAGCTGCTTAGTGCGAAACCGCGGGATCCCCGTTTAGGGATTCTTCCGCGTCTCCGCACCCAGCAGCCTCCCGGCCTAGCCGGGGCTCCACGGCAAGGGTCTCCCGAGGTATTGCGGGGACCCCGCAGACGTGCGCAGGATGGCCCGCGCGTGGGGGCAGAATACGCGGCCTAGTGCCCACCGTACCGCCCCCCGTCCGCTGCGGAGGACTATTTGGGCGTGCCCGTGTAGCTCCCTCCGCCACCCCCCTCTTTTGCAGGACAAAACTACAAGATGGGGGCTGCCGTCACGGGATCCCTCAGTGGCCGGCACGGCACAATGCGCCGTACCGGCCAGCGGCTATCCCCACGGGCAGGGTCATGGGACAGGCGTAGCCAGGGCACGCACTCGTCCTCTTCTGCCCGCTCTTCTTTGGCGGGAGGGAGCGGCCAGGGGATCATCCTCCCGCTCTCTCTCGGCTGCCTCCTTCTGCGAGATAACTTTCTCGCTCGGCCTGGCGGCAGCAGCGCCGCAATCAGATCGCGGCGCTGCTGCCGCCAGGCCGAGCACTCCAGCAAGGTGTGCTCGGCCGTATCGTCCGGGGAGCCGCAGTGATCACACTGCAGCGTTTCCTCCCGACGGGCGACACGGTACAGGTAGTGACCGAAGCATCCGTGCCCGGTCAGTACCTGCACCATGCGGAACGAGAGGCCGCCGCGCCGGCGACCCACCCACTCCTCCAACACCGGACGAATGGCCTCAATCGTCCGGTGGCCGGCGCTTACATGGGCGAGTGCCTCAACCCATCGCCGCAAGGCCTCTGCCTGCGCGATGGAACGGACCTGCCGCAGCTCTGCTGGGGCAGGTCTTTCACCCCGCTCCCTGGCTTCGACCCGACCTCGATGTACGTCTGCCAAGACCTGGGCATCGAGATCCCACGGCGTCATACCCGCGAGTACGCAGGCGGCGCCGTGGCTGACCGTGCGGTAAGCTCGCACGACCCGGGTCGCGATGGTCCTCTGAGGTCGTCGCAGCAGAGCCATCGACTCGTGCGGGCTTTGAGGCACTCTGCCCAAACCGGGGCTCCATAAAGTGCCATCGATCGTGTCATCCCGTGATACCCGTGATATACTATATATTGGGAGGACCCTGCCGAGTGCGGCTGCGGCGGCGCACAGCCGTGGAGCGAGGAGCTTGAAGTGCTCCTTGAAACTCCATCGGGGATCCAACACCAAAGCATACTTGATCCCTGGCTAAAATTAATATAAATTGATACTTTCGATTTATGTATACATCTATTGTTTATTGTTGTTCTGTAACACTGCTATATCGGTAAAAAAAACTCCTTTTCTTCAATAAATATTTATCTCTTGGATTGGATAATGTTTACTTACAAGTAATTATTATTTATATTGTTAAAATCACAGTAAAAATATTCAAAAATCAAACTAATCAACACTTTTGTTAAGGGTCTTTGTCTCAGTTCAGGTAATAAATTATAATAATTAAGCCTTTTATTTCTTTGACAAAATAAAATTTACAAGAACAAATATTCTCTATAGAGCATGCAATTTATATATCAATAAATTAAAATAAAATTGAATTGTATGAATATATACATTTTTTTGTCTAATTCATTAAATATTTGAGTTATTATTATTCTTTTCTTTTTTATTAACCTCCCGGACCTCTCTATGAACTAAAGGACTCCTCCATTTTCTTTACATAGTTCTATCAATCGCTATACCTCTCCAATCTTTACCCGCTGCAGCGCTGCTTTTAAATTTTCATCGAGCCACCCCTCCGCCGGTCTGCTTTTGTTTCTCTTACACAGGACAGGTAATAAACTATACTTGTGCCAAATTTCATCTAAATCCGTTCAGCTGTTTTTGCGTGATTGAGTCACAAACATACAAACTTTAACGTTTATAATAGTAAAAGGATACTTACAAGTTAACATTATCCTAGTTCTATCCTAAACGTATTATAAGGAGATGAAGTATTTGCTCCAATTTTAAACTCTTACCCGAATGAAAAATATATTGTGTTCAGGTAACGTAGGTCCATATATATGTACTTATTTTAAAGTCTAATGTATATATAAATTGCCAGGTAGTATAGCCTAGTACTACTGCTACTAATTGAGTAATTTTAACTGTGGTTTAAAATTTTCACAAATTTCATACAAAACAAAATTACCTACTTTGTTAAAACCACAGTAAAAATATTAAAATGTAAGCAAATTAACACATTTGTTACAGGACTATAATTATTTCAGTAGCGTTTTAGCGTTATAAATATTTCTCGTGATCATAACGTTTTATGGAATACTTACTTAGGAAAAGCAAAAATAGTTTTATTGTACTTTCTGGATAAAAAACAAGTTCGCAAGAAAAAATACGTTTGAGAACTAAAAAGAACTAAAAACTTTTATACTTAGCATAAATTGTCTCTGTAAATAAAAAAGCAAAAACTACTAAAAGAAATTAATGGAAGCGATTTTTTTGGTAAAATTAACTCTACTGCTACTCGAGGGTTCCCCTTCTTAGGGTTCCGTAGTCCTGACAGGAAACCCTTATAGTTTCGTCATGTCCGTCTGTTCGCCCCTGGTTTTTTTGGAGGCTTTTAGCACTAGTAATTTTGTGGAGATATGTATATGAATCACGCCGACAAAAGGGTAGAATATTTTTTTGTAAAATCATTTTATTTAGGGTAACTCCCCTTCATGTAACCTTGGATGTTTTTTTTCATTATCTACACCATCGTGTGCGATATCGTCGAATAGTTTCTTTAAAATTATTTAGGGGTTTCTAAGACTATTTTTCGACTTTAAAGTGCTAATTTTTGTTCGAGAAGGGTGTCCCCCCCTCTAAAAGGAAACTATTGGCTTGGAAAACCTGGAAAAATTCACGATAATAGTTCTTTCATTAACTTTCAAGAAAAATTATACCAGTTAAGATATACTTGTTACTTTAAGGGTGGATTCGACCATACAAGAGTAAATATTAATCTTAGAATAAATCGTCAGTTAATCGAGAGTAAATCAATTTTACGTTTTACTATCTACAATTCTAAGAATAGTGGGCATATTCGGGAATTGTTACTATAGCGCCGTTTCGCACGGAATAACAGAGCTGTTCCTAGAATAATGCAATGGCGTCAGTCAGTCCAATCATATGATTTCTGTCATTTCACAAATATTTATTCTGTGTTTTAATTTCAAGTCAACGCCACGCACTAAATTAATAGTCTGGCATTGTAAAATGCAACGTTTAAACAATTTGATTGATGATAGTGATGAGCAAATTATTCCTAGACGTCCAAGATGGTTAAAAGAAAGTAAAGACTTATTTGAATATTATGATGACCATGATTTTGCAATGAGGTATCGTTTGAGCAAAGAAGCCACTTTGTTTCTGCTATCGAAAATTGAACGTAACTTGGAATATATTTCCGACCGGTAAGTGTACATTCTTTTTACATGCATAGTTTTTTTTGTGCCCTTTTAAGTGTACTCTGACCGTAGATAGTACCGATGTTACTTTATTTACCTGCCTACGGAGGTACACTAGTCTGTGCGGAAAGAGAATGGGATTTAGATTAGAGGGCGCTGTGGTGCTTCTCTACCGTATTTGTAAGGTTATACCCCTTTTAGACATGATTAAATACAAAAAACCGCAAGAAATCACAACAACAAATAAATCCGTATCAATACAAAACTTTAACGTTTTACAGATTGCTGGGTTTGATTGCCAAATAAAAATCTTAATGTTAGTTCCGTTTTTCGCCACGCCCATTCTCTTTCCGCACAGACTCTAGCTTACACTACAGCTACTTTTTCACACTATAATACGGCAAAATCGAGTTGACAATCATGTCAACTCGATTTTGCCGTATAGTGTAAGAGCATACATCAGTATGCTCTTACACTATCCCATTATAGTCACCATTCACTCTGCTATTCGCGTATTGTTGTCCTAGCGCAAGTATACTATCGATTACGTGGAGAAACGACTATGGATTTACGCGAGATTAAAATCATGGAATAGATTATTCCTGGTATAGTTACTCGTGCATTTTAAGTTTGGTTGAATCCACCCTAAGGGTAATAATTGTTCAACTTTGGTAAAAGAACATTTCTTACCTATTGAAAAGAGAAAGAGCAGCAAACTCTTTAATGCAGTCTAAGGTTGATGACTTAACCAAGTCTCTAAGGCAAATGAAACATAATGCACGAAAGACGAATATTGAAATACAATATGTACCTGAGAGTAAAGAGGAAAATCTGTTGCAAATTATAACTGAATTCGGTAAAAGTATAAACTGCATAGTTTCTGATGAAAACCAGGCTCACTACACTCGAATTGCTAAGATAAAATTAAAGATTCTACATGACCTAGGTCCATAATAGTGCAATTTAACTCACAAAAGTACAGGGATAAATGTTTGCGATCTGTAATACAATTCAACAAAGCCAATCCCCAAAACCAACTATGTTTAGTTTTACTCGCATGCTGGTCTTTCAGGTGCTAAAACATCTTTATTTCTGAACATATACACATATCAGCTGCAGACAAGGCCCTCCATGCAGCAGCTAGAAGGACAGCTAAGGACAAAGGTTATAAATATGTTTGGGTGAGAAGCGGACGCATTTACCTGCGAAAAACGGATTATTCACATTGCATAATCATAAAAGACATTGAAACATTAGTTACTTTTGTATTTTTTTTTATCTTCACCGTACTTTTTTTTGGATGTATCTCGTAGAATAATAATAGTAAGTAACAATGATCAAAATATATTATCAAAACGTTCGTGGGTTACGGAGAATTATTTGATGAGCGAAATGTGGTGTATAGGAGGCACAGAGAAAGTTCGGACTTTAATTGTAACAAGGAGGGGGGGTTTATAAATAGCTAGATTAATTGTGAGAGTGAATGTGAGGACTTGTGGGTTTACTTGGAGTTACCGCTTGGCACAAAAGTATATAAAATAGCTCTTTGTAATGAATTCATACCACCACAAGTAAATCAGAAAAGTGTTCATCGATATTTGATAATTAGATGGTGATAAAATTTATGGTGAGATATTTCTCTGTATCGTTGGTGATTTCAATTTGAGTATGATCGATTGGAGCTTGGTAAATGAAACTTCTAGTATTTATGTAGCACCTAGTTTTTGCCAATCAATTATTGACCTGTTACATGAACAACCTACAGCAAATAAATAACATCAATAATAATAAATGAGGCTGTATATTGGATCTATTCTTGACAAACCTACCATCCACTCAGTGTACTGTTACCTAATCCATTGATATCCTAAGTTGATAGCTATTACCTTCCTCTAGAATTAATTGATACAAAATCATTTGAGGATAAATTTAATTATAATATTGGTAAGGAGATTCCTAATTTTTACAAATCTGATTACGTGCAGATCCATAAATTTATGAGTGAATATGACTGGGATGTATTATTTGATAAATGCCAAGATATGAATGAAATGACCAATGTATTTTATACCATAATTAACGAATTAATAAATAAAATTCAAATAAAAAAAAACCTTTCGCTGTTTGTGGTACGGAACCCTTCGTGCGCAAGTCCAACTTGCATTTAGCCGGTTTTTTTTTATTTCGCAGGCAAAACCTCTATTTACAGATGTTGGCGCCCTTATGGGACACACTAACGAACAGAGCTCACATATTGCCTCTCGCAAATCTCACGGGTGCGATACGAAGAAGTCGTTAAGCAGTCCGCGCGGTTTACGAGCGCTTTCGGCATACTAATCCGCTTAAAACCGCAAGATCCCCGTTGTGGAACTTCACCGCGTCTCCTAACCTTTTTTTTCCGTAGGGGAAATGCCTTACGCATACCCGCTCACTGAAAACTGGTGAGCGGGTTATGTCGGGCTCTCCCTTGCCTACCCACTGGACGAAATGTAGCTTTCCCTCAGTCGGTAGGCAAGAGCGTACCGACTAAAACCTCCACGTGCCCCATCAACTCTGGCAATAGGCGTCGCTATTGGACCGAAACGCACACATAGCTAGCCGGTGCCAGTTGCCTGCCACATGATTCAGACCCACCTCTGGAAAGGGAGCTAGGTTGCACCCTCCCCAATCCCTTCGATAACGCGCTGCAGGACACATTGGCGTATCATCTTCTGTTTTTGAACCTAGTTTTTGTACAGCCACCAGATAACCCTTGTGCCTCGTGTCTGAGGTCCCTACTGCGGAGACTGTATACGGGTATTACCGCGTCTCCTTTTTTTTTTTTTTTTTTTTTGACCCGGAGAAATGCATTACGCATACCCCTCCGCTGGGTAGGCGTCAGGGTTATGTGGGACTCCTCCCCCCGCCTCCCGTTCACCCACTCAGCCAGCCATAGGAGCTGGCTCAGCGGCTGCTCGGGATGGGGGGGTCCTACCCACTAAAACTCCGGGATGTGCCTTCTCTGCCGGAAATGACGGCGTGGGGTCCTTGTTGGGAATCAACCACACCGTCCCGGCGGGCCCGGCTTTACGCCGGGCAACTCCACGTACGGGGCGATGCCCAGGCACATCTGGGCATCACCCCCAGGCAGTCGAGACCCTGTAATGCAGGAGTGAGCTTACCCAACCCACTTCCACTGGCCTCGATTAGAGTGCGATGAGGCGGTCAAATTGCCGCCCCCTACCACCCTGCCGTCTGCGTCGAATGAGGGCCGCGCTAGTGTCAGCTTCACGGACCCTTTCAGCGGCCTCCTTCTGCGACATGACTTCGCCGCAGAAGGAGGCCATTGCCTCCCATGAACTCTTGCTGTCCAGCATGGCCTTTATTACACTGGGCAGGGAAAGGTCTCCTCCTACAGCAGCTACCAGGGTGCGGCGCTGTGATTCCCATGCAGAGCACACCTCTAATGTGTGCATCGCCGAGTCCTCTGCAGCGCCACACTCGTGGCACTGCGGGGTCTCCTCCCTCCGTGCAATCTTGTGCAAGTAGCCCCCGAAACATCCATGTCCGGTGAGCACCTGCACAAGGTGGAAGGAGAGGGACCCATGTCTCCTGTTCAACCATTGGTCCAGTACTGGTAGAATCGCCAACGTGGTGCGCGTGCCATATCTGACCGTAGCGAGATCGCCCGCCCACTTTTCTAAAACTGCCTCTTGGGCTTCACTTCGTGCATGTCGTACCTCCTCGAGTGCGGGGCGCTCCCCGCGGGCTCTGGCCTCGGCCCGGTATTGATAAGCTGCGGCCAAAACCACCGCATCCAGCTCCCATGGGGGAGTGCCAGCAAGAAAGCAGGCTGCCGCACAAGACACCGTCCGGTATCCCTGTATGGCTCCCACTGCCATAATCCTTTGTGGCTTTCGCAGTAGGGTTTTGTTTTTGCCTGTTGGAGCTTCCACCCACACGGGTGCACCATATAGGGCCATTGACCTAATAACGCCAGCAAAAAGTCGCCGACATGTAGCACTAGGCCCGCCTACATTGGGAAGCAAGCGACTCAGAGCTGCTGCAGCATCTACTAATCGTGGGGACAGCCGGCGGAAATGCTCCTGAAATGTCCAACGGCTGTCTAATAAGAGTCCCAAGTAATTTAAGGTGTGCCCTATCTCCACCCTAACATTGCCAACCATTATGAAAATGGTTGGAGGTTTTCGTCGAGGTCCATAAAAAATCATGGCCTGCGTCTTATTGAAGGCTACCTCCAGACCTAACTGTCTTATTCGACCTACCACGATTGCGGTGCTTTGCTCCGCCAACCGTGCCGCCTCTTCATGGTCTCTCCCTCTAGTGACCACGAGGGTATCGTCAGCGTAGCATAGAACCTCTGTCTCTGGTGGAACTGTGCTGCATAACACATAGTTAAATCCCAAATTCCACAACAGAGGGCCTAGCACAGAGCCCTGAGGAACTCCGCATTGCATTTCCTGATATAGAAATTGTCCCTGCTGTCCAATTTATGTCACCCTCCGACCGCTCAAATAATCAGCAACGAGCCGCTGTAAGTAAGTGGGGATATGGTGCCTCTGCATTGCATCGAGGATACAGGGAAAGGGGATGGAGTTAAATGCATTAGCGATGTCTAAGGACACCGCGACCACATATTCCGCTTTATCAATAGTATCCTTGACGATACTTCGCAGTCGTAGGATGGCATCGATTGTTGAGCGCCCGGTTCTAAAACCGAACTGGCGATCTGAAAGATCAAGACCTTGTTCGACGAGATGCTGATTGATACGTGCAGCGAGCAGGCTTTCGAAGGATTTACCCACTTCGTCAAGTAATACAATAGGCCTATAAGCCGATGGGGAGTCCGCTGGGCGGCCCTCTTTATGAAGAAGGCAAAGCCGCCCTTCTTTCCAGATGTTTGGAAATCGTCCCATTGCTAGGCACATATCACATATCTGTCGGAGACGTTCGCCAATGTGTTTCATAGCTAAGGCGAGAACTTTTCGCGGCACTCCGTCCGGTCCTGGGGCCTTCGACTTAGATCTGAGGCGATCTGTTATCGTCTCGAGCTCTATTGTTGATACCCGAGGAACAGTCTCAGCTGGTTCATGTACCCCGGAAGGTGGAGGTATGTCTGGTGGGCTAAATATTCCTGGAAATGGGAACAACGCCGACACTACTCGAGAGAGAAGTTCTGGTTCGAACGATTCCGTAGAAGGGGCGCGGTGTCGCAATTTACTACGTACCATGCGGTATGGTCGGCCCCATGGATCATCATCTAGGCTGCGCAAGAACTCCTCCCTCGCGTCCTCTTTGGCCTTATTTATCGCTAGTTGGAGCGCTTTCTTAGCTTCTTTGTAGGCAGTGTGAAGACGCTCTTCCTCCTCGGCAGTATAATGGCGTCGTCGTCGGCACCGCTTATGCGCCCGTCTGGCCGCGTTACTGGCGATGCGCAGTTCCTCAATTTCTTGCGACCACCAGTAGACCTGCTTCCTTTTGGGGTGCTGATTTTTAACCCGAGGCATAGAAGCGTCGCATATTGCGGTTAAGTCCCCACGCAGTCTGACCGCCAGTTGGTCAACACCCTCGTTCTCATCAGGAGGAGCTCCCCAGGTTGCAACAATACCCGCCTCTTCGACCATGCCAATGTCCAGCCGTGTGAGGGCCCATCTGGGAAAGCGAGCCCCTCTACCGGGCGAAGCCGGGACATTTGATCCCAGAGAGGGAGAAACCCCGAATCTTATATAAAGATGGTCAGACAGGGTTTCCACACCTTGCAGAACTTGCCATTCGTAATGCGTGAAGCCAAAGCAGGGGTCGCGAATGTAATGTCCACGATAGACCCCCCCCCGCCTTCTCACACATGTGTTGGCCGATCCCTGGTTTACCACTGAAAGACTAGTTAGAGCTACCCAGCTTGTGAGGAGCCTACCCCTCGCATCTGTGACCGAAGAGCCCCAGGCTGATGCCTTGGCATTGAAGTCTCCAAGCAATAAAATCGGCGCTGGGGCCAATCTCCTCATGACTGCACTGAGCATGTCCACAAAAACCTCGAACTCAGCCAGTTGTCGGTTTGGAGAGAAGTAGATCCCCAGAATCGCGATACCCCCCCATGTCACTGCGATGTAACCAGCGCCCCTTTCTTTAATAATCAGTGGGGAGGCTGTAGTGCTACCTATAATAGCCACGGAGCTGTTTAAATCTCCAGCCCAGTTGGCCAGATGGGGTACTCGGTATGGCTCTGCCACAACTGCTATATCTATTGACCACTCCGCTATAGATTGCATTAGCAAATCCTGGGCCCTTGCGGAGTGGTTTATATTACACTGTAGAAATTTTAGATATCTACCCCTGTCCATCGATATCTATAATAATTTGCTCCGGCAATTCGCTTGCAGCTGCTATGGAAGAGGGTGCCCCGATCTGAAGAGCTCCCAAAGGTCCCGGATTGGCAGGGGTAGGCCTGCATTTATTGCCCCCCATAACATGCCCCGAAGGTCGTCCTTCTCCAGCACAAACCGCACAGTATGGCTCTGACCTACATTCTGCAGCAACATGGCCAGTTTTACTGCAACGGAAGCAGGCGTTGCTGCGGTCGACCTTTGCTGGGCATCGGAGGCCTACATGCCCAGTGCCCATGCATTTGAAGCACCGCATTGGTATAGGCTCTAATAACTTCACTTGCACGGAGCTCCATCCGACAAGGAGGCGACCTTGTGAAATTGTTTTTGCCACTGCAATTGGGCACTTGATTGTGGCTGAGCCTACTCCGCTTGGTCCCATTCGTATCTCCCCAACTCTCAGCTGGTCCCGATTACAGTCCGCTTTACCGGCTACTGCGTCTAGAATGTCTTCTTCCTGGATAGAATCGTCAAGCCCTGACAAACGAAGGCTAACGCATTTCATCGGTCTTGTAATTTTGACAGCGTCTCCTAGTGTTTTCCGTAGTTTCTCAGCCAGTAGATCGGCTTTAGGTGCGCTCGATGCACCAGGAACTCGAAGGATTCGAGCTCCAGTGGCAGTCTGTCGGATTCGCAAGCCTTGTATTCCGAGATCTGGCAGATTCAATTCTCGTCTGGCACGTGCCAAGGTTTCGGCATATGTGGCGCCGCCTTGTATGGCCTCTGGTTGCAGCGTTATCACCACAGCCTGTGTTCTTGGGGAAGTGAGCGGCTGCTTCTTCTTCTTCGTTTTAGCTTTCGTGGTTGAGGGGCCGGTTGTTGTGGATTGGGGCCCTTTATTCTCAGATGGATCATCATTTGCAGTCGCCTTCTTTTTTCGCTTTTTATTGCTTTTATTCACTACAGTAGTCCAGGGCTCTTTAGAGACGGCAGAATCTGGGACCTGTTCGGCAGGAGCTACCTGTGAATGCGTTTCAATATTTAGCTCCCCTTGGGCAGTCGAAACGTCAATGGCTTTTGGCATAGACGTTACGGAGTTTGGTGGCGAAGATTCCGCTGCCTTATGTTTCTTTTTTGGTTTTTCTGCTATAGACGGTGGTTGTTCGACGTTCAGCACCGGCGGCAGTCGCTTCTCTATCCTGTTTAATCTATCATTAAACATTTCCCCTATAGTGCTGGTTATTGAGCGCTTGAGTTCTTCCAGGGCGTCTCCCTTAATTAGGGAAGCGGGGGGCATCGTCTTACTAAGTTCGTTACGCTCTGCATAGGCTCTTTCGAAGGCCAGTGACTTTTCACGAACGAGTTTTAATTTCTGACTTAGGCGAGCATTTTCCGCAAGAAGTCTGGTAGTCTCATCTGTAATGGTCCGGATGGAAAGGTTTTCGATTATTGTGACCAGAGCTTGGCTTGCCTCATTTAGGGCTCTCTGGCATGTGTCTTTCAAATGTCCAGACTTACGTGACACATCTTTAATAATTTGGACATGCTCCATAGCTGATTTCCTTAGGTCATCAGCTTTTACGACTTCTGCTCTTGGTGGCGACTTTGGTGGGATACGCTCTTTGTCCGTTTCCTCTACGTCGGCTTTAAAGGCAGCCAGTGCCTCGCGACCAAGCTCGTCTCTGAGCCACTGAGGACCGCCTATTTCGCTACACGCCAACGAATACTCATCGTCGGAGTCTTGGACGCAGCTGACATTCGTCGCTGACCTAGATTCCACCAAGCTAAGATCTGTCGTCTGCGAGTTATGAGTACAGGCCCCCGTTACTGACTTTGCAATTGGTTTTTTGCGGTTGCGGTTGGTAGTCGCCGCAGGTTTGGGTTTGGTTTTCAAACGTGGTTTGTTTTTAACCAGCTCTCCCGTTTTGACTGTTTCCTGTCCCGGATCTAGAGCTATGTCCAATCTATCCAGAACAACAATTGGCTTTCTGTTGTTATCGACCGTATTTTGGCCCTGAGATGGGCCTTTCTCTCCTCCAGACAGGCCCTGAGAAGGGCATTTTTCTACTTCTGATTGGCCCTGAGAAGAGCCTTTTGGTTGGCCCTGAGAAGAACCTTTTGTGTGGCCCTGAAAAGGGCCCTTTGTGTGGCCCTGAGAAGAGCCTTTTAATTGGCCCTTAGAAGGGCCTTTTCTACAATTAACATCAGCACGCGTCTCCTAACCTAACCTAACCTAACCCAACAGCATTCCGGCCTAGCTGGGGCTCCGTGTTAAGACTGCTACTTGACCTATGTGCGTGTGCTCTAGTGTAGAATAATCGAAGCAGAGGAAGGTCAGTGGCAGAGTAGCTTGCCTACGTCCCTAATTACTAAATTAGGGACGTAAAATTACTAACCTAACCTAACCTAACCTAACCTAACCTAACCTAACCCAACAGCATTCCGGCCTAGCTGGGGCTCCGTGTTAAGACTGCTACTTGACCTATGTGCGTGTGCTCTAGTGTAGAATAATCGAAGCAGAGGAAGGTCAGTGGCAGAGTAGCTTGCCTACGTCCCTAATTACTCTCATCATCATCAACATCAGCTTATTAATGTCCCCACTGCTGGGGTGTAGGCCTTCCCTAAAGATGGAATAGGGAGACTGGGCCGTGACCCTGGGTCACGGGTAACCATGCGGGGTCAGTGCGGATTGGTGGATTCTTACGACTGGAGATGCTCCCAGGACCAACGGCTTAACATGCCTTCCACAAAGGAGCTCCAGATGGCAAGTTTTTGGTCACCCATCAAATCACTAACATTGCGAAAGTTGCTTAACTTTCACGATCGTAGCCCGATTGCGCTAACCACCTGTGCCATCGAGCTCATCCTAATTACCCTACTATTTCGAAAATTTGTACTCACTTCACCAATACTGGTTTCAATAGTATCAGTTAGCGGCATAGTTATTACTCCAATACACTATTACCCATTACTTTGCCTATGTACAGGGCATTTATCTGCAATTTACGTAGCTTAGTCTTAAGAGGTAGGGCGTAGCGGATTTTCTGTCTGCGCTGGAGCACTCATCTTCGGATGTTACCTGCTCCTTAAGCCTTGATGACACGGGGCGAGTAAAAGATGTGAAAAAAGCCGATGACCCGGGGCGAGTTTACAAGCTGCTAGTGAACTTGCTGGCTTGTAGCTAGTAACTCACCCCGTGTCATCGAGGCTTTACAGAAGGTTATAGTAAAATACCTTTATGGTGGTTTTGTGTTTCTGTCAATTAGTAAAACCCCAAGGCTCCACGAGGTAGGTGCGGAGACGCGGATGAAACCCTAAACGGGGATCCCGCGGCTTCGCGCTAAGCAGCTTAGAGGGTATTCGCAGGGTTTTTTAGCGGATATTATGCCGTTAAGCGCCCGTAAGGGTTACGGGGTCCTCAGTGGGCAGCCACTGCTGGGGCTCGTAAGGCTTGCGGGAGCCCGGCGTGAGGTCCGTTCGGCGGTGTGCCCCGGCGTGAGGTCCGTTCGGCGGTGTGCCTGCCGTCGTCTGTAAATAGTATTTTTGCCTGCGTATAAAAACGGGGCTCCACGAGGTAGGGGATTAGGGTAAGGGTAGGCAACGGTGCGAGTGACATTTTCAAGTTCCAGGGCTCCACGAGGTAGGGGATTAGGTTAAGGGTAGGCAACGGTACGAGTGGCATTTTCAAGTTCCAGGGCTCCACGAGGTAGGGAATTAGGCTAAGGGTAGGCAACGGTGCGAGTGGCATTTTCAAGTTTCAGAGCTCCACGAGGTAGGGGATTAGGGTAAGGGAAGGCAACGGTGCGAGTGGCATTTTCAAGTTCCAGGGCTCCACGAGGTAGGGGATTAGGCTAAGGGTAGGCAACGGTGCGCGTAGGCTTGCCAGGTGTCGGCTTTAGCCGGACATGTTTGGCTTTTTGCGGTCGCGTCCGGCCAAATATGTTTAGCCTGTCCGGCTTTTGTCAGGCTTTTTGTCAGAGTTTTCGTTGCGATTCGTACGACGATGGGCGGACGAGCGTCCGAGCGGACAAGAGAGCAAACTGTTGGCGCGAACGTGAGCGTGACTACCCCGCCCCGCTGTCTGATATAATAAATATGTCCGGCTTTTAGGGCAAAATGTCAAGCCTTATATAGTGCGCAGTCCGGCGCATTAGGCTAAGGGTAGGCAACGGTGCGAGTGGCATTTTTAGTGTCGTAAGCGTGTATATAGGTTATTGTGGCCGCTTACCATCAGGCCGGCCATATTCTTGGTTGCCCCCTTTTAGTATTAAAAATCTACGTCTTCACATTGTAAGTAGACAGCCCAGTCTGATAACTGGGAGGAGTTATTTGATCCTTTGTAGTTAACAATTTGATTACTTTTTTTCTGAATTAAAAATTATTATACAACTATTACAATCTCGTTTTTTATTTCAAAATAAAAGATAACTATAATAACAAAAAGGGACATTATATACCCAAATGATTTTTTTGCTAACAAATGTGATGAAACATTATCGCCTAGAATTTTTTTGGAGCTCAGCCCACTTAAGCACTGACAAACATATTTACAATCCATAATTATGAAACTTAATATTAAAACATATTTCAATATGAATACAAATTACCTGCAGAGGCAAGCTTTAACTTTATATGTTGGATTTAATATTAAGTGAATAGCTCCAAAAACTTTGAACCTCCGTTTTATTCCTTCACGTTTGAGGGTGAATCATGGAAAATACATCAAAATAGCTATATTTGTGTCAAATTTCAACGCAATCCGTTCAGTGGTTGGAACTGTGCGTTAATAGACCAGTCAGCAAGTAAAGGTTGCCATTTACATAAACAGATAAATCATCAAGTATTTCATGATTCACTCATTACTTAGATATCGAAAAAGTAAAGCAATTTAATCGCCGGCATAAGAATGTGCTACTCGACATTTCCATTAAGGAATCCATGATTAATACCCTTCGATAGCTTTACATGGACATATTTATCTCGGTGGGGATAAAGAAAAATCTTAATTTAAACCGAAGATTTGTGTATCGTGTTGGCACGCTCTCGCCCATTCCCTTTCATCGTTTAATCCTTATTTTTATGCTTTTAGAGGTGAAAATTGTGGAGTAGCTTTTGTAGATGGTCGGTGGTACAGGCTTAGGGCATTAATGAGCTTGTTGAGGATTTACGATCAATTAAAATCTATACGGGCCCAATTAAAAAGCCGCTTGTTTATTAGAATGGCGTTTATCTGAAGTGGTGGGGAGCCGGGCCGCCATTCCGGAGATGGAGCGGTCTTATTCGCTTGCTTGTTTTAGGGTCGAAGACAGATAAGCGCGATTATCTACTTTGTTCTTCATCGAAGTTTGTTTGAAGACAAACATTTGCTATGGGAGAAGGATTTATGTAGTAGGATCAGGTTTTTAATGAAATTTTGTGTAGGTATAATATTAAAGTGATAAGCTGGTAGATAGTAGTAGTAGCTGCATTAATTGTTTTTTGTTTTGTCGCATTAACAGAACTAATGTCCTATTGAAACGGAAATAACAAAATTGAATAAGGGCGCGTTGTTTCATACATACTTCAATTTGACTACAGTTAAAATAATAGACAAAACTAAAAAAAATAACAATATTTTACACATTTGGTATATTTTGGACGTAATGTAGTTGTATATATATTTATATTAGGTAGTTTATCATAATAAATCTTAAATCAACGAGATAGCTTTTGATTTAGGATAAAGAGTCATGAAAAAAGTATTCACGCGGCATTATGTTGTAAACGTTACTGACAATCTGTATAATTCGCCATTTTATACAATACCTAGGCAATGTATAGAATGCCAAAAACTTCAAGGCAATTTATGAAATATTATCCGTTTAATACTTACCCTAGGTATTTTTTACTACGCCGAATCCGCAGTCGGCAATGTAAGTGAAGATGTCGACTTTTCCTTGTTTGATTTATCTATGTGGTAGCTGGCGCTTCGCCGGCGCTGCCATGGCACGCTCGCTTTGCTCGCCCGGTTCGCTCTAAGTTTAGTTCATAACACTAACTTAACCTAACACTAAGTTGGTCAAACTTACTAATTCATACGGCGAGAATTTTGAAACCCATCCGTCAATTTATAAGCAACTGGATATGCTAGGTTAGGTTTGGTTAGGACAAATATAGGCTAAAACTGTTTAATTTATACATTCCCGATGAAAATAATATTTATAGTATTCCATACATTACCTAGAAGCGCCAGGCATTCTATACATTGTCTAGGTATTGTATGGAATACCTGCATTATACAGATTTTGCCGGTGACATATATGTAGTAGATATTTGTAGAATTTGCTATAAGCACATTCTACTAGCTGACATATTATGGTATTTTAAAATGATACAAGTATCTTAACAAAGATATGTATAATATAATAAGAACAAAGGCGACTTCAAAATATATCAACTCAAAAGAATGAATTAAAATTTTAAGATGGCCTTATAATTTATCTACGTGTCACAAACTTCATGATGAAAGACTTTCTCCTTATGATTTCATTGTCCATATTTAAATGTACTTAAGATGTATTGATTTATTTTACTGTTCCTTAAATTGAAAAACATCTATATTAACAAAATATAATTTCAATCTGACTGATGGTTATCGGGATATTTCAGGACAAATTAATGTATCATACACCTACAACGTTTAGCACACGTATTCAAGTCACGTAGTCCTTATAGATAGATTAACATATACTTATTCGAATATTTCGCAAATCCAATAAGATTACAAATACCTTTAGGGTAAACTCGATATCATTTTCTTTAGTTGATTAAAATTACCAATCAGCTAAATATTAGCTGAAAAATAAATATTAGAAAGTGGATTTAACTTATTAATGAAAGTAGATAAGACAAATTGTTATTTGTGTACTTTATAGGTACGAGTTGATGTATTTCTTAAGAAGATTGGAGAAGCATGAAACTATAA